TTATGATAGAGTTAAAGGTTTTGTAAAAGAGACAGTTTTTTCATGTGATGACTATGCAGCAGAAGAGGGAGTAAGATTTGAAGCAGGAGATGCGTCTAATCATAAGTCAAAGTTCAAAGAAGGAGATCGTGTGATATTACAGACAGTCAAAGAAGAAGTAGTTGCTGGTACAGTGAGGTGGGTGGGACCAGTTAGAATTTCCAAAGATATGAAAATTGATCCTCTTCCAGTAGTAGGAATAGAAACAGTAAGTGATGTAGTTACACATACAGTGGAACCTCTGATAATGAAACTTCTCTGTAACAAAAATCTCTATGCAATAAAAAATTTTACTGCACCAACTTTATTCCCTATTAATTAAAAACTTATCTTTAATGAAAACTTACATGTAATGAAAAAAAATTGTTGTCCAAAAGTTTTGTTATTTGGAAGTTCCACTGTACTAATAAATTATTTTTAAATTTTTTATAGGACACAAAAATTGATCCTATAAAAGATTTTGATGGTGTTGATATTAATATCACTGGTAGTCATGGTACTAAGCTTTTTAAAGTACCATATAATCACAGTCGAGTGTTCCTTCCTGAACAAATGGTTCTCTTTGTTAGCGAATATACAATGCAAATGCAGAAGGATGCTGCTGCTAAATTTAAGAAAGAAACCAAAATGGATGATGCTACTGAAGAAGAGAAGAGATCAGCTGCAGAGTTTGGTATGACAGTAGCAGAATATCGACGACAACAGCAAGGCTATGTTGATGTCGCCAAGCAAGGAAAAGATGGCAGGAAGGTACCTGGTGATCCAAAAATTGGAGAAGAAGGTAATGAGGAAAAGTTTGCACCAGGAGGTGGAATGATGGGAGTAGTGGGAGGTGGTAGAGGAGTTGAAGATGAATTAATGAATACGATACAAGCAGTCCAGTTCTCTAAGCCTGGAGCAGTTGATAAGAAACGAGTTGAAAGAGAAGAAATAGCTCTTCAAGGAATAAAGTCAAAACAACAACAGCAACAACAAGAGAATCATGAATTACAGCGTGGGCAACGTGGATATTATGAGGTGATTGAAGGAGGGATTGAAGAGTGTATTGTAGAAGACAGTTATGTACCTGTATCACCTTATGTTTCATCTTATGAACAGGATAATAATGAAAGAGAAAGAGGAGATCGGGTTAAAGGAGATGAATTAACAAATGTGATACAAACAGTGCAGTTCTCTGGGCCTGAAGGAGTTAGCAAAGAACGAATTGAAGAAGAAAGAAGAGCTCTTGAAGAAATAAAAACACAACGCTGAGCATAAAAAACTAACCTGTATTTGAAGATCATTATTTTTAATTTTTAATTTAGGTTTAAAAGAAGAAATCCACCAGCTCCAGACATCAATTGAAAATCTTCAGTTGGAGAAAGACACTCAACAAAGGAGAGCTGAACAGCAAGAACAACAATGGAGGAATGAAAAACAACAGCTTCTGGAAGAACAGGAACATCTGAGGGAACTAATTAAGCAAGTACAGGAACAACTAGAAACAGACAAACAAGCACTAAAGGAGGAAATTGGCCACTTAAAATATGAAAATGGCCAGTTGAAGTATGAAAATGAGGATTTAAGGAGAGAGATCTCTGATCTTAGAGAAGCTCATCGTGAGCTGCAACAAGAAACTGAAAAGAAGGAGCAAGTCCAGGCACAGCTGCAGAGCCAAGTCGGTCTTTTCTCAATTGAGAACATGAGATTGAAAGGTCAAGTGAAGCAGCTGGAAGAAAGCAGTGCTACTGATATCAAGTACTGGGAGGTGAGCTATAAGCAAGTATTAACGAACAAGGACACACTTGGATCAGGAGGTTGGGGCAAAGTTGAAGTGGGTCTGTTGCACGGTCAGAAAGTTGCTGTAAAGATGCTCCACTCTGATATAAAGTCACCTTATTACAACCAGTTGGTTCGCCGTGAGATAAGCATGTTAGCTAAAGTACGCCATCCGAACCTTCTCTTGTTTATTGCCGGGGTCTTGGACCATCCTTCAGGGAGTCCTATTATCATCACTGAGCTACTGGACACGTCATTACGTAAAGCTTACACTGATCGTCTGATAGGCAGTGATAGAGTAAGGATATCTAT